TATAGCTAAAATCACTGAAAAAAAAATACATTTCGTACAACAAGTATTCTATAGTTATTTTTATCGTTAATTCCAAATTTTTTAACAAAATAAGTAGAAAACTAATATTTTGAACAATGATAGAAATAAATACATATTTTATATGCATATTATTTATTAATACATACATTTAGAATTTAAATTATTTAATAGCATAATAATTATAGTTAAGACTTATCTTTATTAAGATTCGTCATTTATAAAATAAATGTTTTAGTTCAATAGTAATTGGTTTTATTTAAAAACAAATATCGGAAATTTAAGCGTAATTAATGAGAACTAAAAGTTAATTTTATGATTATTATACCGTCATTGTTTTCATTAGAATTTGCACAATGAAGGATATTGTTTTAAAGTTTTTTGATTGGAATTGAGAGCTAAACATTTTTTAAAAACCAGAAAAGTTTCTCAGCTGTATATTATAACAAGTTTTGAGTGCACTTATTCATYGAGTAACTTTAATGACTAATGGATGTGTTTAATTTGAATTCAATGATAAATCATTCCATATAAACAACGATTCTGAATGAAAACGGATGACAACCACTATTCTTAAGGATATTTAATGTAACTTTAAGTAAGGCATTAGGATTTAGGTTGAACTTAAAAACATTGCATGCTATAATAAATATATTATCATTGTTATCAACTTAAAAGTCAACACTATAGTGATGTAACATTTTAGAAATTCAATACTTAAGACATTTCTGGAAATTTCTCAATGATGTTAATGATTTAATTTAATTATTTTGTAGAACTAAAATGTTTACATAATAGCTAAACTGTATAAAAATTAGAAATACTCACTAATTTATAAGCATATTTTATAACATTAAAAATATACTGCACAAATTGTATTAATCTAAAATTTAAATACATTTTGTTTTTCATTATAGTTAATAAGTATATATATGTAATTGTAGTATTTATTATTTACGCGGTAGTATAATATATTATTCACAGTATAGTTATCTTATCACAATAAATTACCTAACGAAATCGATGTAAATAAAACAAATAGTAAATATATTTTATTGAAAATCCCTACTTGTATTACTAGTCAACTATGTATCATAAAATTGTGTAAATAAGTCTATAGTATAGATAAATAGTTTAACATATTTTGATWAAATATTTTTAAAATTTCATTGCGTATAGAAATGTATAATACCTACAATATGTAATGYGTGGAAAGTCCTTACAATTAAAAAAATTMAAGTTAAAAGAAAATAACTAAAACATAAATAATAATGACAATAATAAATAAATAAATAGTAAATAATAATTAATAAAGGAATTAACGAATGTTAAATATCTGATTTCTTGAACTTTAAATATATAAATATATTTATTGTTATGGGAAAATAGGATAATTGGCCAATGTATGAAATGTCTAGGCAATGTGCTCAATTTTTTACAATCGGCCAAAATAAAAATTGTCTCAAATAACCAGGACATAATGTATAATGAAAGGGAAATGTATACATTGCACATTTAATTTTTTTCCTGTACTCAGTTCAAAATAAGAGACACAATCAGCGGTGACCTGTTTTCGTTAATGGAACTCATTTGTCACCTCCACCAATTCACCTATCTATATCGGTGTTTCCTAGTTGTGGACAAAGTGACAAAAACCATGTGAGAAATGCGCTGCGCACAAGTCGGCTGTTAAACTGTGATACGGCACAAACGACCACACATAAAACGGCTGTTTTCACGGCTACTAAATCATACAATATSRYGATATAAAGTAACATGAATAAGTGTACAATAAATACAAGCAAGACTAAATTTCGGAAAGTATCAGTTCATTATCAGTACTCCTTCAACATTCAACACCTCAAGACATCAGAATAATCAACACACTCTACTGTCAAGTGAAGAGTAGAAGGAAAACTACCGACGCCGAGAAGAAATATTGCAACCACCGAAGCCGGCCGTCACTTAGGAAAACTGCCCACGGAATCCCGAGCACGACCCGTACAACCAAGACCCTCGGACGGCGATATAGCCAACCGTCGACACCAACCGCATAATATTAAAACAGCCCGTACCCGGGCTAAACCRAACCGAYGTGTCTGTGAAACGGATATACCAACCGTAGTAACAACAACGTATACGGATATTTCACGGTTAATCCAACCCACGCTGCAAACATCACCGAAAGATCGGGACAGTATTCAACAGTCACACCGACGCTTTGAGACTATACGGTCTCGTAGACGCTGACGATCGCACAAGGAGTCGCGTCAGAGCCAGATGCGACCGCATAACATAAAACAGCCCGTCCCCGGCTAAACCGACCCAACGTGTCTGTGAACCGGATCCACCAACTGAAGTTGCAACATCGTCCACGGACATCTCCGGGTCAATCCAGCCCACGCCGCACGCTAGACGGTAGACGATTATCGTAGYGGTCAATAAAGGACGCATATTATAGTGGAAGAAGGACCACCCAACCATCCCCGGACCGAAACATAGACACACCGGAGATCAGCCGATTGAAGCCAAGACCGCTGATAGATCCTGGGAGCCCAGGTCGAGGAGCTCCGGAAAAAGCCCAAAAACCAAGATCTACACGCATTCGACGGAAACTAAAATGGCCTTTATCAAGCCCACTAACGACGCATAGGTCTCCCAAGCGCGCCTGCCTAGGCTACGCTTCCTGCCCGGGACTATAGATCGACGCCACTTTTTCGAGCGGGCTGTTCATAGCCACCCAGGTCGTCCCGTCATTGTAATATGTATAGGACCAAACACTCGTCAATGTAAGATAGCCTCGTCTCCGAGTACTAAGACCTACAGTCACGGGGACGCGTGAAATCAACTCCCATTTTAATTTGTAAATATCAATTGTATGTAAAATATAACATTGCAATTACACAAGAACATTCCTGTATATTTTATCAAAAGTGACGGAGCATCGTTCATGGTAGCCCCGTTACAACTGTGTTTCTTATTTTAAACCAATTATAGAGTTTATAGACAAATACAAATATCTACTACAAGTTTGGTAAATAATTGCTCATACAAGTTAGGTAGTATACTGTTGAATGAATTGTGCACTAGTTTTATTGTGTTTATCAACCTGAAAAAATCTATTTTAAGCGATCAAAAATGTAATGACAAACATTAAATAACTATTTATACATCTGTAAATGACTAGACTCATACAATGGATCGTCTGATCCGATTATGGTACCCGATTGTATATCTTTGTTGTCTGTATTTTATTGTACGTAATTAATATGTAAATTTCAAAAAATAGAAGATTAAAAGATTGGATAAAAATAGTCTTGGTTTAACATTTTCAAACAAAATGAGGTATCAGGAATCTGCTGAGAAAATAGGAAAACAATTTTTTGATATGGCTTATTGTAATATACAAGTTGATTGTGCACTGAACGTCATACAAGTGACCAGCCAGGGTTATATGAATCATCGAGTTATAAAGCGAAATTTTGGGGAAGAGTAGAGCTTCACTTGGTTGACCATGTGGCATGTAGAGTATAGCATATACCAGAAGTTAGGTCAATATTGTTTTTGAAAACTTGACCACCAATATTCCACGAAGAACTCCACAATTGCGATCGAAATAGTCGAAAAGCTATTAGAAAAAAATAAAATGTAAATAAATTTGATCAATTGGATAAKAGGATATTAGAGATGAGATGTCCATTACATTCTATCAAATGGTTCATCGTCGGGACCCATACTACAAATATAACGTTGTGACCTAGGAAAAACGTAGATTCACCAGTAAATTTAATTTAGCTCTGAGTGACCTGAAAGGGGATACTAGATGGAAAATAGGGAAACCATACGTAAGGAAAGTATACAATA